CAGAGAAAAGTTTTAGCTGCCGCCCTCCTTGGGGTCGGTGGCATCCATCCCTCTCCTCTCCTTCCTTCCTCTCCCCTCCCCACCTCTACTTCTTGTCCATCCACTCAAGGCCCTCTGTTTTGGCTAAGTTTGGTGCTTGCTTGACTATCTTGGTAACAACATGGTAGTAGATTAGCTCTTATTTACGTAATTTGTATTTCAGTTTTTTAGTTTATTGTGTGTTTGTAGTCTCTACTTGTATTTTGACTTGTGAGTGTTAGTAAAGGTTGTATTTGCAATTGTAATTTGGTGCACTGAGGTATATATTTGATTTTTTAAAAGGTTTTTTTTTGCCAAAATGCCAAACTTTCTTAGGCCATGTATGCCTATGAATGGATGTACACCTTGTGGGTTGCCGGTGGACTCCTCCGTATTATTTGGATTAACCCTCTGTGGTTACTATGTTTCCATATTTTTACTAACCCTATATGGTTATTTGTATTTGTATTCATCCTTATAACCGAGGACCATTAGGCATGAATTATGAATGCAATCTACTGCCTTTCTATCACAGTTTCAAGTTCATTATAGGCGGTTATCTGCAGAACCACAAATACATGAGTGGGGGCGAAGTACTGTCTAAAGGACATAACAAATCTATTGGCCTCTATTAACTCTACACGTCAGTATTTCTCTATATTAATTTACTAAAATTCTAATTTCCTTATTTCCTATAATTACTGATTTACAATGGGAGCTTAGTATTATACCCAAAATAGGACCTGAAATTATAAATAAATAAATAAATAAAAACCCCCTATAAGGAATATACTTTAGAAACATACCCAAAAACTATTTACTACCTAAAAATGAGTGTTGAAGTTCTTATAAATTACACCTCTGTCATTGATTAACTTAAAACAAGCCCAATACAAAAAACTAAAAAAAAATACTTAAAATAAGCCCAGCAAGCCCAGCCTAGATTTGACCACAAAAACAAGCCCATCAAGCCCGAAGTACATTGTTAATACAACATCATAGAAGTACGTTTGTTAATATCTTATCATAAAAATACATTGTTAATATCATGTCATAGAAGTACAATGTTAGTATCATTTCATAGAAAAACATTGTTAATACCATTCCATACAAAAAAACTCAAAAACCCAAAAAAGCCCAGCAAAACATCCGATATCTTTTGCAAAAAATCACTTCCAATTGTCCACAGTTTAACCAGAAACAATAGCAAAGGCAAAAGGAAATATCTCTACAAGAAAATAAAAATACACTGTTAATACTATGTTATAGAACTATCTTTCTAGTAAAAATCACATTATATATATCATAAACTTCAAGTGCACAGTTATATATAGAGCAAAATATAGAGTATGCTTTGTTAATGAAAATCTATTAACACTATGTCATAGAAGTACACTGTTTATATTATGTCATAGAAATCAACTCAGTTGCAGGGCATGAATAATATAATAGTTGTTCATACCAATTATTGGAAACTAACAACTACATTTCATTTGCATAGTAGGTACAATAAAAGTGTTCAACTGCAAAAACCCCATGTCGTAAACTAGCAACCTTGAAAAACATAATGGACAACACAACCCTTTGGAACAAACCTAGGAACCCAGAGCAAAAACCCCATGTTTGTAAACCAGAAACCTTGAAATACAACTGAAATTGAAAGAACAAGTGCTACAGGAAGGCTGGTTTGGCAAAAAGTTGATGCCAAAACTGCCAAGACAGAAACAAACACTATGAGCTGCAGCAACCAATGGTATGATTTTCTTTTCATTTTTTACCACTAGTAAAAATATTAAATGTCTTCGTCCTTGCTAACTACACTACTACAAAAAGTGAAAAAGACGACCAGAAAAACACGACGGTCTAAGTGAAAACCGTCGTTGTTTTTTAAAAGACGACGGTTTTATAAAACCGCCGTGTAATAACACATTAGACAACTAAAAAATGGAGTTTCAAATGGCTGTTCCAAAAACACGACGTACTTAATTAAAAAACCGACGTCTTATTGAAATAGGATTTTCAAGAGGTAAAATCATAGCCAACAAATAACGGCGGAAGTTATGAACCGACCGACGTAGAAAGTAAAGACGACGGTTTCACAAAAAGCCGTCGTTTTTACCCAGAAATTAACACGACCAAGTTTTCGTATAAGGCGACGTATAATTACAAATAAATCCACGGCGGTAAAATACAAAATACCGCCGTATTAAATTAATGTACAACTACGGCAAAGGTAAATATAACGACGTCTTTCTCGTATTTCTACGACGACATCTTTAAATCTTACCAAGTTGGGGTTTTCATATAACGACGTATTATAGAATTTAACGTCGTATTTGTCCACTTTATACGTCATAAATTATATTTAAACCGTCGTCTGAATAAGAATTTTTTTTAACAATTTATTTCTTCGATTTTGTTATCCTACGTCGGTAGATCTACCTAACGACAAGAATTGAAATAACCACGACGGTTTATATAGAAAACCGCCGACATAATCAGATTATTCTGAGATCACAAGGGTTAGGAAATCTTACAAGATGGAACTCTGTTGCTCATCATAATCTTACCAGAAAGACAATATTTTAGAGGTTAATGATGTATGTGTATTTGTGTCTTTGAGATACACAAACGCACATACACATTAACATCCAAAAAATTGCTTCTGAAATTTGACGACGGCAGCCTCAGATTTGCAATCAGAGAGACAATTTTTTGGAAGTTGATGATATGTGTGCGTTTGTGTATCTACACAAACGCACGCACACATCAACATCCAAACAATTGCCTCCTAAAATTTCACGACGGCAGCCACAGATTTGCAATCAGAGAGACAATTTTTTGGAAGTGAATGATGTATGTGCGTTTGTGTATCTACACAAACGCACATACACATTCACATCCAAACAATCGCCTCCTAAAACTTCACGACGGCAGCCACAGATTTGCAATCAGAGAGACAATTTATTGAAAATTGGTGATTTGCAATCAGATTTGCAATCAGCCACAGATAACCAACATTCAAACAATTGCCTCCCAAGAGATGAGGTGAGACAGAGAAAGGGGCAAGAAGAAGTTGAAACCCTAATCGAATACTAAAACTGAAAGAACCCGTGGAAAAAAACCCTATTTATAATTAAAAAACCAAATCCACGTCGGTTATATTACACATAACGACGTTTAACAAAAACAATCCTCGTCGGTAACAAATACATTACGTCGTTTTATTCTTACTTAAGACGACAAGAAACGACGACGGTATAACAAAACAGTCGTTGTTTTATATTTTATTTGATTTAAATCAGTCACCTAGAAAAGAAACTTTACAAATTCTAGAACATTAATTTCCTCGGGAAAAAAAACTATATCTATAAGGCACTGTTTTTGAAAAATAAACTATAAGAAAAAGGGGAAAAAAATTATATTTATAATAAAAAAATAAAATCCACGTCGGTTATATTACACATAACGACGTTTAAAAACGAATCCACGTCGTGGAAAAAATAATACGTCGTTTTAGTTTAGTGTTATCCACGTCGGTATATTACAATAAAACGACGTATATTATGAAAATAAACGTCGTAAATTTAAAACAACCGTCGTGTTAAATATTTCTACCATGACGCGAGATATTGAGTTATCGACTTTTATTTAGGAGTTTACTACGGCGGTACCTACAACACCACTGTCGTATTTATGTACCACGTCATAAGTTCAAATTAGCGTCGTAGTTTGTCTATTAATACGTCGTCGTTCTATGTAAACCGCCGTCTTATTATTATGAAACGGTTTGTATACATATACAACTTTTCGTCTACCTGACTTACACATGCACTGTTTCCAAACCCGAGAAAACATTTCAATCTCCCAGAGAAAACTTTTCGTCTTTTTTCCTTGTCAGAGCACTGTCAGAGTATCTCATCGTCTTCCTCTTGTCTTCGTCGTCGCCTTTGAACTTAAACACCAAAATCCGAGAGAAAGCTTTCATTGCACGCAAAAGGTAAGCTTTCATTTCTCACTATTTTTGTTGCTATTTTGCATGCTCATACTGTTTTTGTTTTGAAAATCTTTTTACCTTTTTTCTGGCGAAAATCATTTTTATTCTTTCCAAGTTTGATAAAATACACAGACAGAGAGGGAAAGTTTCAACTTTGAACATAACTAATTCAACTAAATAAGACGACGGTAGCTTTTTATTTACGTGGTTAAATATGTAGACCACGACGGTTCATCAGTCGTCCTAGCGTCGTCTTAAAATTGATCTAAGTTGTTTTTAAAATGACGGTCAATTTTTTATTTGCTTGTTTAGTTGCAGGTTCGATTTCTCTGAACCATGGTTTTCGTTTTTCCTAATTTGATAAAATACAGAGACAAAGAAAGTAGGGTTTGGTATCTTATATAGACGACGGTATCTTATTATTGACGCCGTGTGAATGTTCATACCACGACGTTATACTAAGATACCGTCGTCTATAAAAGATGCCAAAGCTTTTTTTCTTTGTATTTTATCAAATTAGGAAAAAACAAAAACCATGTTTCAGAGAAATTAAACCTGCAATCAAACATTCACAAAGAAAGAAAAATGTTTTTGGTTTCTTATAAATACGACGGTAGCTTATTATTCACGTCGTGTGAATATCCATAACACGACGTTATATTAATATTTACGTCGTGTTAATATGAATATCACGACGTCGTGTAAATATCGCCGTAATAAGTTCTTATTACGTCTTATTTAATATTGTTTCGTCGTTGTTTAAACATTTATATTGTTCTTCTTTAAACATTTATTACGTCTGATGTTATGTTATTACGTCGTGTAAAATCTTATCATACGTCGTAGTTTATAAATAACCGTCGTTTGTGTTCTAATTTTTTTCACGAAATATTTTCACTTGCAGGTTTGTTTATTCTGTAACCATGGTTTCTCAAGACCAAAGTAAGTACTCTGGCTCCAAAAAAATGGAGGTAAGGAGCTTGGAATGGTAACTCCTCAAGACAAGCCCTTGAAGAAGATGAAGTTTGTTTCATCTGCTGAAAAAGAACCAAGCAGCACGACAACAATTTCTGAGGATTCAAAGTCAGGTCGAGGTATGAGCACAATGCCTCGTGTTGTGAAGAGAAAATTGCAGAAAATCAAGCCAGTTGTTGAGTACAATAAAAGGGGGAAAGGATGTGGCCCTGCACATACTGAGATGCAGTCCTACATTGGTGTGTTGGCACGCTCCAGAGTCCCACTTGTGGACAAGAAATGGGCTGAAATCCCCAATGATATAAAGGAGCAGATTTGGGAAGCCGTTGACATGGCTTTTGTGGTAGGTCAAGGGGGCAAGACCTCGGTGTTATCTTCTGCTGCCAAGAAATGGAAGGATTTCAAGTCTACACTGACAAGGCATTATATCCTTCCATACATCAAAGAGAGGGAGAAATTAAGCCAACCCCCTGAAGTATATAAATTCATAGAGAAAGCAGAATGGGATGCCTTTGTAGCTTCAAGGTTATCCAAAGAATTTGAGTCTGTGCATTCTCAACATGCACAGATTAGGGAGAAACTTGAGTACAATCATCGATTGTCTCGAAAAGGATATGCTGGTTTGGAGGATCAATTGGAGGAAACCATGCCTGGGGTAGAAATTGATCGATCTACCTTATGGAAGAAAGCTAGACAGGACAAACATGGTAACATCCCGGATCCAAAGGTGGCAGAGAAAGCAAAATTAATTGTAAGCCTACACACTCTGTTTTAAATTTTATTAAACTGGGTAGAATTCTTATTACGTCTTATGTTATATTTTTCCGTCGTGTGAATGATTTTACTACGTCGAAATATTTTAAAAAACGTCGTGAAAGATCTAAATCTGGAATCACAACTCTGTTTTCTGTAATTATAGCATAAGACGTCGGTGGTTAATTTTTTCTGTCGTTTTAATGTTATTACTACGTCGAAATGTTTTCAAAAACGTCGTGAAAGATCTAAATCTGGAATCACAACTCTGTTTTCTGTAATTACAGCATAAGACGTCGGTGGTTTATTTATTGCGTCGTTTTAAACAACTAACCACGTCGGTTTTAATTAACGTCGTTATAAATATATTATAACGTCGATTTCTATATTGGTGCGTCGTGTGAAATTATATAATGCGTCGTTTGTTTATAAATAACCGTCGTGTATTTTCTTGTGCTGACTTTTTTTTATGTCTTTGTTTTAGGATGAATTGCAAAAACAAGTGGCTGAAGGCAGTCTGAGTATAACTGGCAGTAATGATGTGTTGACCTTGGCTTTGGGTCCCGAGCATCCAGGGAGAGTAAGAGGGGTAGGTGCTGGGATTTCCCCTAGGCAATTCTTCAATTTACCTAGACCACAAAGGGTAAAGTTTGCTGATCAATTGAAGGAAAGTGTAAGAATTGTCCTTCAAGAAGAGACTAAGAAGATGGAAGCTAGAACCAAACAATTAGTAGAGGCTGAGAGGGAACATTTACTAAGTCAGCTTTCCCACCTCATCCCCAATTTTGATCCAAGCATGCTTAAACCGAAAACTAGCCCTGTCAAAACCAAGGTCTACAGCAAAGTCCCAAGAATCCAATGTCTGATAAAGCAAGCTGTTCTGGGGCTGAAGTGAGATCCCTACATTTAGAGGATGATACTGCCAGAAATGGGGAACAGCAGGAACAAACGGTAACATATCTGAACTTTGAATTCTCTGTTTTTTTTTAAACATTAGACGTCGTTATTATGAATAAACCCGTCGTTTTAAAACCATACCACGACGATTTTATAAATACCCCGTCGTGTTTATTTAAATACCACGTCGTATTTAGTTTACTTGTTTTACACGCCATTAGACGTCGTACTTTGTGGCTTTTAGACGACGGTTTTTGTCCTTAACGACGTAATATAAAATTACCACGACTTTTATTATTTACCATCGTTTAATAATTTTAAGACGTCCATAATTCTTACATACCGTCTTATGTTATGCCTTACCACGACGTTTTGGTTTAATTTTTTTACTCTCTGTACAATCTGTCTTATATATATATTTCTTTATTATTTAAAACAGAAATCTGGGGCTTTAGATGAAGAGAAGAAAGAAGAAAATAAAGATGAACAGAAGATGGGAGAAAAAAAAGATGAAGGGAAGAAGGAAGAAAAAAAAGAGAATAAAGATGAAGGCAAAGAGGAAGACACAAATGTTGAAGAGAAGAAAGAAGAAAAACAAGATGAAGAAAAGCATGACGAGGAGGTATATTCTCATAACTTTGCCTTTTTAATTTGTTTTTCACATTTCAGACGTCGATATTTTTCTTTAAACCGTCGTTTGTTTTCACATTAGACGTCGGAATTTATTTTCTACGACGTAATAAATAATATAAAACGACGGTATTTAATTACCGTCGTTTAAATTATAATCAGACGACGTTTTTTAATTTAAACCGTCGTTTTTAATGAATTACCACGTCATTTTATTTTGCTTTATTTCTTTAAACAGGGTAATGAAGTAGTTGATTATTCAAATGTGGAGGTGCCATCTTCCTTACAATCCCTTTGTGGTTATGTGGAAACTACACTAAAGCCACAGGGGAAGATCATGACCTTCAACATTGAGAAGGAGGTGTTTGGTGCAGATCGAAGTACCTTCGTCTTGCATGAAGATATTACACAGTTTTCAGGCATGGAAGAAATTGGGGCTACTGTGGTTGCAGTATATATGAGGTTTGTCCTAATCAAATATCAAACATTATATCATAAGACGTCGGTTGTTTAATTATTGCGTCGTTTTAAACCACTAACCACGTCGTTCTTTTTTACCGTCGTGATAAATTAGTTATCACGTCTGTTTCTATTTCAGTTCGTCGTGTTAAATTGTATAATACGTCGTTTGTGTATAAATAACCGTCGTTTGTTTTATATATTTAGGTGCTTATATGATCTTTTGAGAGAAGCAAATATGTGCAGCATGGGTTGGCTTTATCGACCCTGCTCAAGTTAGTGCCAACGCTGGGTCACTAACTGACAGATCACGAATTGTAGCCAGTCGACTTCAGAAAACAGATGGTGAACAGATTTTCATGATGCCTTACAATCCAGGGTTAGTCTCCTTAAAAGGATTTTGTTTGTATGATTTTCACTTATAAAACTGTTTAACTAATTCTGTGTCGTTTGAAACATCTAACCACGTCGGTTATTTATTTATTGAGTCGTTTGAAACAACTAACCACGTCGGTAGTTAATTATCGTCGTGATAAATTTATAATGACGTCGATGATTAAGTTATTACGTCGTGTGAAACTATATAATACGTCGGTTTTTATAAATAACCGTCGTTTTTTATTTTATTTTTGTGCAGCCGTCATTGGGTCTTGATTGTGAGGGCAAAGAGGGAAACCGTCTATTTTCTGGATCCTCTGCCTGGAAATCGTGTGGTTGATGAGGAGGGCAAAAACATCGTGAACAGTGCTTTAAAAATTTATAATTCCCACATAGGCAGACCAGGCCGTAAAGCACCAATTTGGAAAACTCTGCCAGGCACACCAAAGCAACCCAGCAGTGTCGAATGCGGGTATTATGTGATGCGCTTCATGAGGGACATCATCATGGATCCTTCCTTGGAGTTTGAGAAGAAGGTAAGAATAAAATTTTCAGAAACATTTTATGTGGTTTTTTGTATTATCAACGACGGTCATTTAAAATTACCGTCGTTGAATCGATAGACTACGTCGGTTATGAAAAAAAACGTCGTCTGTGTCTGAATTTCTTTTTATTTTGTAAAGCTTAATAATCATTGTTTATGGATTGCAGTTTGCCAAGGGAAAAGATCAAGCGCCATACCCCCAAGCAGCCATTGATGAAGTCAGGAAAGAATGGGCAGAGTTTGTTTGCCTTCATATGGATTAGAGGATTTTTGGAACACTTGATATTTTTTATGTACTAATTTTGTCTATAATATATAATGTACAAATTTTGTCTATAATATACATCCTTTTTTTCCCTGAAAATTTGCTGAGGTTTTCATATTATAAAAGAAAAAACAAATTGCGTAACCGACGTGTAATAACTTTCCAACGACATAATTATGTAAAAAACCGACGTAAAATGATATTTAGACAAGATGGGACGTACATGGGACGTCGTTTTGATGAAAATTTCGCCATGGTTTCGTTTTTAAACGACGTCCTTTTGAACAAGTAAGTCGTTCATTAGGGTTTAGGTTAATACCTTTTAACGACGGTGATTAGGTCGTGGAATATCTATTTTACGTCAGATGGTGAAACATCCGCCATGGTTTCTCTTTTAAACGACGTCCTTTTTACATGTGAGTCGTTTATTATTATTTACAACGTCGTGGTTTGTTGTTGATATAAGAATATTTTATTATTTTTAATTCAAAATTTTAAAAATAAATTTAAAATAAATTCAAAAAATTCAACTTCAACTCCTATGAAGTCATTGATATATTTTCTTCCCCCTAAACCCCAAAAAAATGCAGTTTGTGTAATAAAAGTTTAAAATGACCAACCAAAATAAAATTGTTGTTATGTGTCATAGCATCACTTATATAGTTTGATGGTTTAGGGTTTAGGGTTTGGGGTTTAGGGTTGTTATTTATTAGGGTTTATGGTTAAAGTATAATTTTTGGGGTTTAGGGTTTATGCTTGTTATTTATTAGGATGTAAAACCATAAACAATTTTATAAAATTAAATTTTACAAATATATAATTTATGGTTTTAAAGTTTAGGGTATTACTTTTAACGACGGTGATTGAGTCGTGGAATATTGAGTTTACGTCGTATGGTGAAAAATACGACGTGGTTTCTTTTTTAAACGACGTTTTGTTTACACGTAAGTCGTTTATTATTATTTACAACGTCGTTAATTACTTAACCCCGCCGTGGTTTTTCATAGTTTTAACGCCTTTTTTGATTTTGCGTGGCACATAGTTTTACCACGACGTCCTTAATGTAAAAAGCGTCATGTTTAATGTTAAATTTTAACGACGCTTGTTTTTTCGGTCGATGTTTTAAAAAGCGCGCTTTCTTAAAATATTCGCGGGACCTAAAATTTTCAGATTTGGCTCTTATTTTTATACTTCTAACCCTGAACCCTAAAATTTTCTGATTTCGCGCAACATAACATTTCGCTCTCTCACTTCATCTCTAATTCAAAGTTGGGCCAGGCTGTGTCAAATCCAATTTGGTCATAATCTGTGAGCTCTGCCAACCTGTAAGTACAAACCCTCTCTTCCCCTTGTAAATTCATTGAATGATATATTACGTTGTTTTGTTAAAGGGTTTTAGGTATATGTTTTGCGATCTGTTAATAATGTTGTTGGAGGTATGGGTTCATGGATTTTCTGTTTAATGTTTTCTTGATCACTCTGTTATGTTGAATATGAAATGGATTTCATTTTGTCGGATCTTTTAATCACTCTCTGTTATGTTGAATTGGGAATGGATTTATTGTTTTCATGCTTAGTATATGTTGGTTTCATGTATATGTTGGTTTCTTGCTTGGTTTCATGTCTATGTTGTGTTCTTAATAGGGTTTTGGGATCTTGAAAATAAACTGGATATCGACGCGTTTTTAGGCATACGACGACGGTTTTTACTTTAAACCGTCGTTTTTATTACTTATACACGACGGTGTTATTTAACTACCGTCGTGGTTATAATTAGACGACGTAAAATCCGTCGTCTATATATGTCAAATACGTCTGTTTTTGTTTAAAAACCGTCGTCTCTGTTGTATATTACTTGCTATTAGACTTTATATAATCTGCTATAGTGATGGTCATTGCTTGTCTTTTCACTTTATTATATATAATAGGGTAGTGTCGGAGATGGATAAGTCATGGATGCACTCGGATAGAAGATCGAAGGCATATGAGTTAGGGGTGGAAGCATTTTTGAACTTTTCTGTAGAAAATCTTCTAACTACCACACATATCCGTTGTCCATGTGTTAAATGTGTTAATTTGAAATTGTTTGGGGTTGGAATTATAAGGGATCACTTATACTTTAATGGAGTTGACCAAAGCTATAAGAATTGGACATTTCACGGAGAACCTTGGGAAGCAGCTACTAATGCTAGTAGAAATGTTGAAGAAGATGATGACCATAGTAGGTACAGTTTTGTGTCTGAAGAAATAGAGATGGATGATAATGATTTTGGTGATTTTGGATCTGATCCTTATGAGTTTGCCAATGTGATTGGGGATGGAGATCAACCATTGTACCCTGGTTGTAGAAAGTACACGAAGTTATCGGCATTAGTGAAGTTGTATAATTTGAAGGCAAAATATGGGATGAGTGATGTCTGTTTTACAGAATTATTGATACTTCAAGGCGATTTGCTTCCAGAAGGAAATACAATACCGGCCTCTATGTATGAGGCAAAAAAGACTTTGTGTGCATTGGGGCTGAGTTATGAGAAAATGCACGCATGCCCCAATGATTGCATCTTGTATAGGAAGGAGTATGAGGATTTAACTCATTGTCCTAATTGTGGTATCTCAAGGTGGAAGGAAGGCAAAGATTCAATCTTGAAAGAGGGTGTGCCAGCGAAGGTGGTGTGGTATTTTCCTCCAATTCCAAGGTTTAAAAGGATGTTTCGATCACATGAGACCGCTAAGAGTTTGACTTGGCATGCTGCTAGAAAATCAATTGACGGTTATATGTCTCATCCAGCGGATTCCCCGTCTTGGAAACTTCTTGATGATAAATGGCCCGAGTTTGGTAATGAGCCGAGAAACTTGAGATTGGCTCTTTCATCTGATGGATTCAATCCCCACAGTTCTCTAAGTAGCAGATATAGTTGCTGGCCAGTTATCTTAGTTACATATAATCTCCCTCCATGGCTGTGCATGAAACGAAAGTTCATGATGTTGACCTTATTGATTTCCGGTCCTAAACAGCCCGGAAATGATATAGACGTCTACTTGGAGCCTTTGATTGATGATTTAAAATCTTTGTGGGATGGGATTGGAGGAGTGTATGATGCACATAATGGAGAATACTTTACACTCAGAGCTGCATTAATGTGGACAATTAATGATTTCCCCGCCTATGGAAACTTATCTGGTTGTGTTGTTAAAGGATATAAAGCTTGTCCAATATGCGGCGATGATACACCTAGTCACAGGTTGAAAAATGGCCACAAAATTTGTTACATTGGGCATAGAAAATGGTTACCGATCAATCATCCATATAGGAGGCAACGTGCAGCTTTTAATGGGAAACCTGAATATGGCACGCCTCCTGAGCCATTAACCGGAGAAGAAGTGCTGCATATGGTTGAAGATGGTGACAGAGTTTGTTGGAAGAAGAAATCAATATTCTTTGATCTCGAGTATTGGAAATACCTTCCTGTGAGGCATGTCCTAGATGTTATGCACATTGAGAAGAATGTTTGCGATAGTATCATTGGTACATTGCTGGAGATCCCTGGAAAAAATAAAGATGGGATTGCTGCTCGATTAGATTTATTGAACATGGGGGTCAAAACTGATTTGCAACCCGAGTATGGAGAAAGACGTACTCGTTTGCCTCCCGGGCCTTGGAATTTGTCAAGAGCAGAGAAAGAGAGGTTTGCAATTCTTTCTATGGTATGAAGGTCCCTGAAGGTTATTCTTCAAATATAAAAAATCTTGTATCTTTACAAGATTCAAGACTTCTTGGCCTTAAATCACATGATTGTCATACCTTAATGCAACAATTGCTCCCTGTGGCAATTCGTTCTGTTTTGGAGAAGCCTGCAAGGTATGCAATAACTCGTTTGTGCTTCTTCTTCAATGCTATATGTGCAAAGACTGTTGATGTTTCCAAGCTAGATAAGTTGGAAGAAGATGTAGTAGTTACTTTGTGTTTGCTTGAGAAGTACTTTCCCCCTTCATTCTTTGATATCATGGTTCATCTAGTAGTACATCTTGTCAGAGAAGTTCGTCTGTGTGGGCCAATATATTTTAGATGGATGTATCCGTTTGAAAGATATATGAAAGTGCTAAAGGGGTATGTTCAGAATCGTACTCGTCCCGAAGGTTGCATTGCTGAGCGGTATATAGCTGAAGAAGCTGTAGAGTTTTGTACCGTGCATTTATCTGATGTTAGTACAGTTGGAGTGCCTTCAAGCCAAAAGATGGGAGTTTCAAAGCCATTATCAGGTTGCACAGTAAGCGTAGTTGATCGGGACCTGTTGAACCAAGCACATCTATATGTCTTGGAGAATACGGAGGAAGTCCTACCTTATATCGAGTACGTATGAGTTTTATTCTTTAAGTTTCCATTTTAAATTATTTCTTATGTTTATCTTATATGTTTGGGACCGTAATACTTGAATTTTGTGTGTCATGTAGGCAACATATGATCCACATCCAGACCGCTTATCCAAAATTTAGAAAGAGAACAAAGTGGCTGCAGGATAAGCACAATAGCACTTTCATTCAATGGCTACGCTTCAAGGTATATGTTATTGAATAACATATTGGACTTTTAATTTTCTTCTTTCTATGTTAGATTGAATTAAGTTATGATTAATTTGCAGGTTCAAAGTGAACTTAATGAGGACAATCATGGCGTATCAGAAAATTTAAGGTGGCTAGCAGCTGGTCCAAACATGGCAGTGCCATTATATAGGAGCTATCTCATTAAAGGTATTAAATTCAACATCAAGGCACAAGATGATGTGCGGACAACTCAAAATAGTGGAGTTTATTTACTTGCACATACTATGCAAGTTGCTAGTGCCAAGGATAAAAACCCAATTCTCTCAAATATGGGTTTCTATGGTGTCATTCAAGAAATTTGGGACCTTGACTACCAAAAGTTTACAATCCCAGTCTTTAGGTGTGATTGGATTTATAATACTTCTGGTCTTGTAGTGGACGAACTTGGATTTACCCTTGTAGATTTGAGTAAAATTGGACATAGGAATGACCAATTTGTTTTGGCTTCTCAAGTCAAACAAGTATTTTTTGTTGACGACCCGATGCATCGTGGTTGGTCGGTAGTGTTATCAATGCCTAATAGAGAATATAATGATGTTATTGGTGATGATGTCTTAGGTGATGTGAGAATTGAGTGTGAGCCATTTACTAGGGGGATGCCAAATGTTGACACATTTGATGAAGTGGTGGTTGAGTTAGGGAGTCAAAATATTCGAGATGGGTGTGAAGATATATGGGTTGAATGATGCTTTATGTAATTGGCAGTGTATGACATTAATTTTGTAATATATTGTAATGTGATTTCTTCACTTTCATTATACAGGTTTTGGCCACAAAACAATCAGTACAAAAATTACTGGTTCCAGATTACAAACACGACGGTTTTGATAAAGAACCGCCATGTAATTCAACATAACACGTCTCCAATCCCATAACACCGACGTCTAAAAGACGAGAACTTTAACCTGAACGTTACAAAAGACGACGTCGTCATGAATTTACCACGTCGCATGTTCTTTCATAAACGAAGTGGAAAAGGATGAATTCACGACGGTATTTGAAATCCATTAAATTTGTCGACGTTAAGATTTATGAATTAGACGACGTTAATTTTTTTAATGAAGACGTATAAATTATTAAACACGACGGTCTTTTTCATGGTACCGACGTTGTATATAAACGACAACGTCGTCCTCATAAATTACTGTGTCGTAATTAATGACCCCATCATTTTTTCCACGTCGTTTATTTTCAAAATATGACGTATAAATTCTGTAATACGGCTCTTATTTATTTGGAACCGACGTTGTTTATTCATTTCAACGTCGTCTCAGTAAATACATACGTCGTAATTAATGAACCTGACATCTATTTCCACGTCATAATTCGTAGAAAAATCGAAGTGAAAAATTTATTTTACGACGGTTGTGGGAAATGTTGTGACGTAGTAGGTGTCAATAACGTCGTCTATTATTATTGTAAAGACGTCGTATTTATATTTGTCGTTAAATATTTATTTAACGGCGTCAAGTTTAAGTTCTCGTCGTTGTATGTTTATCTTGCGGCCATGTTCTGTTAATATATGTCATCTGTTTCCTTTTTAACGACGTTTTTTTGTTGGAGTTGGTCGTCTATTCTCATCCTCGACCGTTTTTTTATGTCTTTTTGCAGCACAAAGACGTCGGTTTTTATTTTTGATGACGTTTTTTGTTTTAACAACGACGGTTATTCACCGTCGTGGTTTGGTTATGGAAAAGATGTCGGTGGATTCCACGACCATTTGAAAACATAATACACGACGGTGAATTCCGTCGTGTTTTTCCTTTTTTGTAGTAGTGCTAATGGCAACAAACTTTATACTGAGCAAACCCCTTTGCAGTTTCCATGGACATGGTAACTAATTAAGATTAGTAAATCTGATGTAACATAAAAGCAGACGGAGATTGTAACATAAAATCTAATGTGAGAGACAGACAAAAGTTGGAAAGGGAAATTTGAATTCCATTATCAGAGTAGAAACCATTCAATCAATACTCCAATTTTCTACCACATCACATCATCTTTTTTGTTGGCAATTTTTGTGCCCAATATATTAAGGGAGCTAATTTTCCCACTCCACTCTTGTCCATTTACATTTCCTTTTGTTGGAAATTGTATATTTCCACACACCTTTTTTGTCCACTTACACTCACTTGTATGTTATAGTAAAAAGTACTTTTAAAAATATTAAAGGGAGTGTAAGTGGATAAAAGAGTGGAAAAATAAGCACCCTATATTAAAAGAGTGTACGATTTTTTTTTTTTTTTTTTTTTGTAGTAGTGTGTTGTGTGTGAGAGATATATATGTGGACGTGATATCTTTGAAAATGAAGGCATGAAATTTCCTCGATATCTCTTGGAACTCAGGGCCATTGATCAGTCCAATCCAATAATTTAGATGGGAACAACAAATTTACCAAAAGAAGTTAAAACTAGATCACGGTGGCAAAAATATCTTGACTATTATGTATACTGCCAAGAGAACAGATGTAATGTAGATCTAGATTTGCTATAAAGTATATATCTCTCGCAGTTCTTTAACTCACACACGCAGCACCCTAAGAGCTAAGAATTAAGATAGAAAAGAGAGAAAGAAATAGAAATGGATGGCGTTGGAGTAGAAGTTAGAAAGAGGCCTCATGCTGTGTGTCTCCCATTCCCAGCTCAAGGTCACATAAGCCCAACGATGAAGTTAGCAAAGCTCCTACATCACAGAGGCTTTCACATAACCTTTGTCAACAGTGAGTACAACCACAAACGCTTGCTCAAATCCCGAGGCCCCTCTGCCCTCCACGTCTCCCAGGACTTCTGTTTCGAAGCCATCCCCGATGGTCTGCCCCCTACGGACGCTGACGCTACGCAAGACATCCCGTCTCTTTGTGAATCCACAAGAAAGACTTGCTTAGGACCATTTCGCAACCTGCTTGCTAACCTTAGTTTAGACAAGGCCCTACCACCGGTGACCTGTATTGTCTCCGATAGTATCATGTCATTCGCCATCAAAGCCGGTGAAGATCTTGGAATTCCGGTGGCGCTGTTCTGGACTACAAGTGCATGTAGCTTGATGGGCTCCACGCAGTATCGCCAACTTATTGACAAAGGTCTTACACCACTCAGAGGTACATGTTATGTTTCATGAAAAATAAAGGGCACGCATACAGTAAAATTGAAATTTAGTGATATTATTATTTGTATTGGTTGTTATATGAAAAGCAATTAAATTAACGGACTGGCAAACTATTATATTCTTTGTTGTTCACCCTCCTTTATTTTTTAATTATTTTTCATCTCATTTATCCATGCAATTTTCATTCACAAAAGCCTTATGAAAATGAGATTGAAAACTTTAAAAGAGATAGGAATTATAGTGAATGATGAGTATTGGAGTACCAAATAACTCTCCTTTATGGGGGGGTCCGGACATTATTACCGTGCAGACGCTATGTGTTTTTCACTACTTTTCTCTGTTTTCCTCCTTGTTTATAATAGTGTCCTCCCGATAATAACGTACGGATCCAAATGAGAGAAGAACTGTATATATATATATATATATATATATATTGCTTTTACTGTTTTCTTGTTAACTTGGGGAGTGATATGGTTCTCATCTAACAAATTATGTGATATGGTTACAATATGTACAAATATTAAGCCCGTAAGAAAGAATTCTTATATCTTTGTTATTTAATTTGGGATATAGAAATGGTGAGCAGCTATGACAAATTCTATGTATGCTTTTCAGATGAGGCTTCTCTAACAAACGGGTATTTGGACACCACGATAGACTGGATTCCAGGAATGAAGGATATTCGTCTGAGAGATCTCCCAAGCTTTGTACGTACCACAGATCCAGAAGACATGACGCTAAGCTGCGCCATGGGGGAGGTAGAAAGAGCTTCCAAAGCTTCTGCTATCATCTTAAACACTTACGACACATTGGAATATGAAGTGTTGGAGGCTCTTTCTTCAATGTTTCCTCCAATTTACACCATTGGCCCCAATCACTTGCTTGTGAACAAGATTGTTCCCCAGAACACTATATCGTCATCCATCGGTTCCAGCCTCTGGAAAGAAGAGCCTGAGTGCCTACAATGGCTGGATTCCGAGGAACCCGACTCGGTGGTTTATGTTAATTTTGGGAGCATTACTGTTATGACACCCCAGCAGCTTGTTGAGTTTGCTTGGGGTCTTGCTAATAGCAAAAAGCCCTTTTTGTGGACAATTAGGCCTGACCTTGTGAAGGGTGACGCTGCTGTTCTCCCATCGGAATTTGCCCAAGAAACGAAACAAAGAGGTTTGTTGGTCAGTTGGGCACCACAAGAGGAAGTTCTGAACCACCCATCTATAAGAGGATTCTTGACACACGGTGGCTGGAACTCCACCATTGAGAGCTTGAGTGCTGGAGTGCCAATGGTTATATGGCCGTTTTTCGCGGACCAGCAGACGAACTGTTGGTTCTCGTGCACTCAATGGGGAGTTGGCTTGGAGATTGATAGAAATGTGAACAGGAGTGAAGTGGAGAAGCTTGTGAGAGAATTAATGTCGGGTGAGAAAGGGAAAGAGATGAGAAAGAACGCCATGGAGTGGAAGGGAAAGGCAGAGGAAGCTACTGGTCCGAGGGGTTCTTCATTACTGAATTTGGAGAAGTTGGTTAAAGATGTACTGCTGCAGCCATCAAAACCCTAGTAGGCAGCGGGATAATCAACCCTGATCCAGGGGGTTCTATGTTGTTATTTCCTCACACCTCAGCTTATGTTATTTTATTTTTTATCAATTTTATTTTTTTTCATTTTTTATCAATGGCCGAGGGCTTTGAACTTGGCAATTTGTTTTCATAGAAAAGTAGTGTGTGCTCCCGTACTTATAAATCAGTGGCAAGTATTGCCATCAATAATCTTCGATGACCGTACGTCTGAACCAATACATGGCCCCCAACTTGAGCCCACTTTTCCCGATATTTTAACCAGTTTGCTACAATAATTGTTTTGGCAGTTTGCTACAATATCGAGCGATCAAAAGGCATCTCTCAAAACAAAACAAAAAACAAAAGCTCAAAAGGCCAATATATCAACGAAGACTTGATTAGGATACTTGTTGGAGTTCGAAAGCAAATGAATTATTTTTGTCCCACAATGAAAGTTCACAATTTTGCAAAAGTCTTTAACAAAACATGCTCGAGCGGGTTTTCTGTAACAGAAAGTGTTTGAGCGGGTTATTTTTAATATAAATTTACTATTTCGCCCCTATATTTAACTGAAAACGTTAATAAAATTGAAGGCAGGACCATTTGTCCCAACAAAACTAAAGTTAAAGGATCACATGAACCATTTTGAAAATTAAGGTACTCAAATGCAAATCGGGTTAAAATTCAAAGACCAATAAAATGATTAACCCCAAAAGTCTTTAACAAAACATGCTCGAGTGGGTTTTCTCTAGCAAAAAGTGCTTGGGCGGATTATTTCTAACACAAAGCACTCAAGCGGGTTTTCTAACAAAAAGTACTCGAGCTGATTTTATCTGGGAGTTGGGCCCGAAAAATAATTTAATTATTTTTTGTTTTTGCACAGTAGAACATGTTTAATTATCGTTTTCAGTTTGAATTTAAATTAGAACAGGTTTCTAACTTTTGTGTTTGAAGCTGCAAACAGTATTATATATACCCAATATCCAACCATAAAAAAAGTAATTTGTTTTCCATCAAACAAATA